AGCCAGGAAAAGCTACATAGCATATATTTGTGTAGTTACTGAATACGTCAGATTAATCATCCTTCTTGAGATTAGGCAGAATTACAACAGATCTAAAAACTAAAAATTAAGGATAAAGCCACTGACTGCTTTGGATAAGTTAAGTCCAGACTGCTAGATGTTGTCATTCTTAAAAGATGACTTACTAATTTTATTATTCCCAAGAAATATATTCAAAATAAATTGAGGGTAAAAACCATAATGACATCCCTTCAGGAAAAATGAATGGGAGAGGGCCAACCCGGTGGCTCACTCGGGAGAGTGTGGCGCTGGTAGCGCCGTGGCCGCGAGTTCGGATCCTATATAGGGATGGCCGATGCGCTCACTGGCTGAGCGTGGTGCAGACCACAGTGTCGAGGGTTGCAATCCCTTACCGGTCACAAAAAAAAACAAAAAATGAATGGGAGATGCATGGGAAAGGGAAATTATGAAATAAACAGGCATTCCTCCTAAGAATTTTCACCCTCTCTGATATATTATATACTAACAATAGAAAAAATAGTAGGGAGAAAATGACAATTTATGTGACATTCTGATTCAGAAAAATGAAAATCCAGCTAAACTGATAATAAAAGAGTACATTCAGGTTTAAATAGAATTTTGGAATTAAATACATCCTACGCCTAAAATCTGAATCAAAACTAGTAGTTTAGTAAAAAGATAGTCTTAACATCAACTGGTAGACTGGCATCTACAATATGTAATAGAAGGTATGCATTTTTTTTTTTTTGCATAATTTTTGTCATAGAAGCACAGAAGTTTGTACACACTTGGAAGAAAATCAGCTGACATTCAAGTTATCACCAAGGAAGCCCATGAATAAGACAAGATTGCTTCAGATACCAAACCACTCTCCAAACTATAGCATGGTGATTTTAAATTGAAGATGGCAACACTGTGGGACTGCCCAGTGGACTCTGTCTAGAGGAGGTAAAAGATGGAAACCTGGGTGACAGGAAATAAAGGGGGAATTTTAAAATTTGCATATGCTGCTTGTCCTGCTGCCTCTGTTGTGATAAGCAGAATTAAACATCCACATCTTGTTCAGCCTGATAAAACCATGGGCCATGACAAGACGGGACTCACTTTCCTGGTGCTCTGCAAGTTAATCTGAGGTTGGAGCATGTCATTGATTGCACTGTGGACTGTCTGTATCCATGCCCTTCCTCAGTACTCTCCTACACCAGCTCTAAATTTGGCAACAGTAGCAAGCTTAACTCAGAAGCTTGAAACCTGTTTGCATGTTGTCAGCTTCTTCTCTTGGACCCCTGCTTCAACTAAGAAAAATGCCTGGGCTTGCCTTAAGAAGCATGTGAGACTTACCATCCCACCCCTGACTGACGTGACCAGTACATGACGAAGTCTAGCCAAGATCAGCAGAACCACCCAACCAACTTGCAGATCCACAGAAATAATAAAAAGGGTTGTTTAAACCACTTACATTTCAGGGTGTTAATGCAGCAATAATTGCTGATAGAGTGCTCAGGCTACTCCATTTCTTAGACTGTCCTCCCTGCCTCTGGCATAACCTGGGTGGGTTAGGGCCAGCCACTATATGGAGTGGAAAATGATAGTTAAGACTGATGAGAACTAAAAATAATAGTATTACAGGTTCTTCACAAATTTACAAAAATGAGGATTTTCTTCGAATTGGACCCAAGCTCCATAAGATATAAATTAAGCCTATTTACATTAAGTTCATGATCTTCAAATGTGCGAGGTGACAGTTTATTCCTCCACAGACTAACAAATGTCAATGTGATGCTTCCAAATTCATTTTCCTTGTGCCCATCCCAAGGCACTTTGTCAAATTATATTAACTTGTAATTAACAATAACAACTTTAAAGATCTTCCTAATTTCTCTTAGAAACATTTAGTTCTATGTTCAGGCACATACCTGTGTTCTGTCTGATGATGTCACCATAGCAGCATTTATAATCAAATGCATCATTTTTGTAAATACTATAATTAATAAATACAATGGGTCATTCTTTATGACAGCAAAAAAAAAAAAAAAGAAACATTTAGTTCTGATTTTCAACTTTTCAGGACATCTGAACCAATTGTACCATGTCACTTATGCCCAAAGCATCTCTAGAATGCTGTTAGATGGCAAGTACAACATAATTAACAATTAATTACCTTGTTGATTATTATAATTATATATTATAATTATTGATTGTAATTAGCATATTTAGAAGGTTTTCTTCAGTTGGCAAAGTAGTCATCATTCACAACAGACAAAAAAAGGCCAATGGCACAAATAATAGAAAAGAACAAGTCTTTTACAGGACTCCCAAAACTTGTTGCAGTAGACAGGACAATGTCCTGACACAGCTGATGAAATTTTCCTCTAATTGAGAATGGCTGGTATTATCTCGAGCCATTCATTGTTGGCTGTATTTACTCACACCCTTAACCCATTTCTTCCTGTTGCCAAGCCCCCCTTGGCTTTCAAACACCTATGGTTGGGTCTTTGCTCAGAGAGGTCCAAGTTCTGTTGTACGCTCCACCCACAAGGAACTTTTTGCAAATCTTGCTACTCAGTGCGGTCCATGGACCAGCAGCATCACAGACCTCATCCCGACCTACTTAATCAGAATCTGCATTTGAAGGAAATCCTCAAGTGATTATTTTCACTTTCACTGTATTATAATTATTTTCACTTATTTCAGCTTTTTAATCTTTACACTTAGCTATAACTTGCGGGCAACGACAGTGAGGTTCCCTGTTATTTTCAGCAGTCAGGCAGCCGTCTTAAAACCAGAACAAGAGACAAAACTACTTCACACAGTATTGCTCCTCTCCATAGTATACACACAGAAGAAGGCATAAAGGAGGAATTCAGTACAAGTATATCTTTCTGGAGCATTGACTCCCAATTGCTATGATGTTATGAATCACACACCCTCTTCTTCCTCTTGCATGCTATTAGAACTGACTCCCCTCTCTTTCACAACCCTGTTGGATATTGAGAATCATAGCCCCAACATTTTATCCTACATTTATAGGAGTTTTTTCTATCAGACAGTACTTATCTTGAGAACAGATACTGAATCTTAATCACCTTTTAAAAATCTCCAAAGCCAAACATAGTGCTTGGCAGCAAAGGAAACAATCAACAAAGTGAAATGACAACCTACAGAGTGAGAGAAAATTTTTGCTAACTATGCATCCAACAAGGGATTAATATCCATAATATACAAAGAACTCAAGCAATTATACAGTAAAAAAACATATAACCCAATTTAAAAATGGGCAAAGGAACTGAATAGACATTTTTCAAAGGAAAACATACAAATGGCCAACAGGTACATGAAAAAATGCTCAACATCACTAGTCATCAGGGAAATGCAAATTAAAACTACATTGAGATATCACCTCACCCCAGTTAGACTGGCCATAATCAAAACGACAGTGAATAAGAAATGCTGGCAAAGGTGTAGAGAGAAGGGAACACTCCTACACTGTTGGTAGGGCTGTAAATTAGTACAACCACTTTGGAAAACAGTATGGAGGTTTCTCAAACACCTATATTTTCCCTTAGTAATTTTACATTTTCAGGCTTTACTTAAGTGTTTAATCCATTTTGAGTTGAAACAGTATGGAGTTTTCTCAGACAACTACAGATAGATCCTCCATATGATCCAGCAATCCCACCTCTGGGTATATACCCAAAGGAATGGAAATCATCAAGTCAAAGGGATACCTGCACTCCCATATTCATCACAGCTCTGTTCATACTAGCCAAGACATGGAACCAACCTAAATGTCCATCAATGGATGACTGGATAAGGAAAATGTGGTATATATACATCATGGAATACTACTTTGCCATAAAAAAGAATGAAATTCTCCCATTTGTAACAACATGGATGAACTTGGAGAAACTTATGTTGAGTGAAATAAGCAAAGCACAGAGTGTTAAATACCACATGTACTCACTCATACGTGGGAGCTAAAAGAGAAAGAAAGAAGGAAGGAAAGACCACAGTGGTGAGTTCAGACCTTTTTAAATTATGATATTCACTATATCAAGGTTTCTTTTTTTTTTTTTCTAAAATAGTGTGTACAGTTTATTTTCCCCGATGCAAGTTGTGATATCCTTGAAAGAGATACAACCTCCTTGGGTCTCAATTTTCTTACTCACAATTTGTGGTAATGGACATGCTGCCAGTACAGATCTGGCCATCACATCTTAGGCATGAGTGGCAGCAATTTGTTTTGTACCCCAGGCTTAGGCATGAGTGGTGACAATTTGCTTTGTACCCCATGAATATTCATAACCAACAAAAACAAAACATTAAAAAAAACCCATTTCACATAAGCTACTTTGAACTGGGTTTCTATCATGTGCATGCAAAACAGTTCAGACTAATACATGATTTCTGATAAAACCTTAAACAACCCTTGGAACTACTGAGGGAGCTACCCTCCAACCCAGTGGAGCTACTGAAATAATAAAGGCTCAAAGCTTAGAAATAAAATTTTTTTAAAAAAATCAAATACAGTGCTTGGTAAAGAGTTAGCATTCAACAGTGCTCTCTTTTTAATTAATTAATGAAAAGAACAACCTGATTACTGATTAGGTAACTGATTCATAAAATTTCAAATACGTGCAAAAATACATAGCCCACATCTTAAGTTTTAAAATCATATTAGGCGTTTTCACAGCCAAGTCAATTTGTTTCTCCTCTAGTCCATTTCTCCTATTAGGCTGATTCAAAAGATTTTAGTTCATATGATAGAAATAAGTATTCACACAAAATAGTTTATATACTTTATCTTTCCACCGTGAATGCTGCTTTCTACTAACACCCTGTCTTAATCATCTTTGAATCTTTCCCAAGTGCTTCTCATAATTACTGGTATATAACATGCACTCAAATATTTGTTGAATGAATGAGTTATTTTTAAACTACCATGAGTTTGTTAGCATGTTACAATGAATGAAAAAAGCTCCAATGCAAAACATTTTAATAGGTTGTCAAATATACAGTTATTAGAATTACCTAAATATCACTTATAAAAATCAGTATATCACATTAAATGATTCTATCAAATAAAAACACAAATCACACATTGACAATAACCCTTGCAGTCCAAGAATACCCCCCGTCAATAGTACAAATTACAAACACATTTAAAAAAAATTAGACACATTATTTAGACATTTAAATCAAAGTAACTGTGACTAGACTAAATACATTCATTCATCAAGTACAATAAATTTAGCATTGCTACTTATAGTTACTAACAACACAATTTTAGGTGCAGTTTCACATGCTTTCATAAGTCTTCCAGTACAATTCCCATAGTAAAGTGTCTTTGTGCACACCATTTTCATTTATTTGCAGGTGCATCATACATCACACTTAAGACTGTTTCACTTCATAATTAAACTGTTAATACATATTGTAAGTTAACACCAGGCCAAAATTTAACCCCAAAATTTAAAAATTAAAAGAAATTCTTGAAAATATATACCAATTTGTTTAATTGCATGAGTATCATTTCCTCTTACTAGAGGCCATAAAATCAATAAGATTTCAAATATTAACTCAAAAGAAAAAAAGATGGAGCCTCCAACCTTCCTAAAATATTAACAAGCAGTTTAAATAACAATACAATCACTCTGTAAGTCAAATAATAATTTCACATTCATTGCCAAATTTAAAATATCAGTGATTTGAAAATAAGATTGAGGCCTAAAATATTTGTAGTAAATTATAAAATACTACAAAAAATGTGCAGTTAATTTGCTTGTGAATACATAATGGAATGTTTTTCATAGTAATGTTGTGTTAAACAGTACTCTAAATGGACAGTCTAAGTAAACGTACCATTACCAGCAAGAGAAGTGAAAAATTAAGGCTTTTTTATGCTATCTATAACTACTACCCGAACTCAAAATTCAAATAGAGGTTACAATGCTGCAAATTATTATTTCTAACCTAACATGTTAATTGCTTCACTTCAACTCAATACTTCTTTCCTTTTCTTTACACAAACCCAAATGCTAGTTATCTTATCTTTAAATGCATATGTCTCTTTATCCTTGTTTTAATTAAGCTCTCAGCCCCAACCTATCTAGACAGAATGCTGGAAATGGTTAGGGCTTCATTTGATTGGTTCACAATTGTACACTGAGGGGCTAAAAATCCTTGGCACATAATATACATCCAGTAAATATTTTTGAATGAATTAAGAAGCCTGGCCTATAAAGGCAACCTTGTTTTCCCAAAGCATTAATAGGTAATTGCTACCTCTTTAAATAACCAAATTGACAATTCTTAAAAAGAAATTGATGTCTCCTAGGCTATGAAAACATTATAAGATGAAACAAAGGATAACTGAGGCTACAAATATTATCAAATTAAGGTTAAAGGCACTGGATAAGGAAGATAATTATTACAAAGCATTGCAAACAATTTTTAAAGCAAATCAAGTTTTAAAGTATAAGATACCAAAATACTAAGGAAAATGGTACTAAAATGATGACAATGCTTTAAAACAGTGGACATCATTTCTTTAATTTCACCAATAAAATTCTTTCATTGTTCTACCGTTTTCTTTCATCCTACGTCGTCTTCAGTATTTAAAATCCTAGAAATAAATGTCTTAAGTTGCATAAACAAACTGCAAATGAAATATCTATGGCAATTCCTTTTTCTTAAGTGATGTTACAAATTTGATATGTAGGCTCTATAGACATGATATGAAAAACATCCTGGAAATCATAAAATACTAAATTATACTCAATCAAAATTCAGAAAAAAGTTCTCATTCAGTTTAATATAGTCTGGAGCCCCACAATAGCAAACTGTAGTGTAAAGAGGCATAGTAAGTACAATCTTTCAGACACATAAAACAAAGAATAGTGAATACTGAGTTGAAATATCACAAGCTCAATGATAGAGCTATATAATATACACATTTTCATAACTGCTTCCTGAAAAACTATTTAGATAAAATATTTAGAATTTATCATTGATTTTAATTTATTAGAATCTATGCAACTTTCATCCATATTAAAATATCAATGTAAATACTTTATTATAAAACTATTATACAATTTTAATTTTTATTAGAGAAATGCACTTTTCACATCCACAGTTTCTTAACATCCTTTTTATGAGTGCACTCCATAAGAAATACACTAAAATCTTTACTTATGTTTCCTAGGGGGGAAAAACTATGATAATCCTACCAACCCAAACTATATCCTTATTAGGCTTATTTCTTAAACATTTATATGTCCAAATAAGCTTGGTGAATAGTGATCATTTATCCCACAGTGGTAAATTTCAGCATAATCTTAAATGACTGGATTAGACAGTAAAATAATCACATGTAGATTATATAAACAGATACGTATTCTGTTACATATAAGCTTACTTATAAAGTAACATAAAATGGGCATTGAATAACAGTGATAAAAAAATGTAAACAGAATTAAATGTTAATCCCTTCCCTGAAAAACAAAAGATAAAAGTGATTCTTGTTTTATTAAAACAAAACAAAACATGATCTATTGTATGAAAAAAGACACTGACTTTACAAACTATATTTCCAAATACAGATAAAGAAAATCTGGAATAGTTAATTCAGATTTTATTAAGCTAAAATGTGCAAAAGATCTGATAATACTTAAGTTTATTAAATTCATTGTACATAGGCTGATACCATCCACACAAAAAAACCTCTTACCTTGTTGAGATTCAAAATAGTGTTTAGTTATCTGAGCTTAAGATTTATTGGACCACTATCCAAATAATGACAACAAAAGTCCATGTTGTAAGGGAAAAACGTCAAACTAAAAATTTTCTGACTATTAGTTATGACTTGAAATTCATTCACACCAAAAAAAATACTACAGCCAATACCCATTTGGACAGTAGAGAAAAACATGAAATCCCTATGAAAAATACTTATGCTGATTCTAAATATAAAATTTGAAACAGTCAAATTTTGTTATAGCAAAATGCATATGAATTTTAAAGTTATTCTGGTTTGATAGACTTACTAAGTGTAGAATTCATAGAGCATGTGGTACTTCTGTTCGGACTCAGGTATTTGTACAGTTTCCTCAGAGAGGGATGGGAAGGCAAGACAAACATAACATTATGTTACTTTCTCTATACCACAAAAAGGCGCTTGGATTTAATAGTTTAATTTGTAATTCTAGAGGGGAAAAAAGGAGAAAACAGTCTAATAATTCACAACTCCAAAACATTTTCCAGGAATATGGCAAAACTGTTAAACTACTTAGATTATTAGACAATCAGAGTGCAAGCAATGACGGCATTAACATCAAATGTATTTGCAAATCTAATTTCAAAGTTTTAAATGTTTTCAACAATAAATAACTACTTTTTACAAAGTGGTGGGTTGAAACAAACATCATACTTACAAATATAATTTTTCCAGGAAAAGGAGCACTGCCCCATCCCCCATGAAATTAAATTATAATTTCCCTGTTGAATATGATATAAAACTATTTTGACTAAGACTGAAATAGAAGCATGGATTTAGATATGCATCAAACCCTATATGATGCACTAATTTACACACAATACTTTTTTAACACTTACAGGATTGGATGTTGTCTTTCACTGCTTAAAAGAATTCTAAGAAACACTATTTTTAGCAACACATATTTATACTACTACTTAACTAAACGGGAACATATAAAATACATGAATTTGAAAAGGAAAAAACTCTCAAAAGTTATTTAAAGGATAAAAAAACAAAGTTTCAATCATCCACCTTTTTGAAGCAGCAGTTAGAGAAAAGGGTATTTATTACACGGGTTTATGATGCTTTTCACAATGTAGTAAATATGTATTCCAATTTTCCCAAAAATGAAAGATTTTAAAAGAAAAATATTTTGCTCCTTGCAAATAACACCTCTCTTCTCCTACCCCTGGTAAGAATAATTTGTACTCTTAATTTCAAGATGTTTGTTGTTGTTGCCCATTCTGATTATCTTTTTTTACAAAGTATAATATTTTGAAATATACACATAAATAAAAATTAAAGGGAAAACTTTTGGAATGCAACAATTCTAAATCATTTCACTAACAAGCACCTTTTGAGTTGCTGGTCTGAACTTTTAGTATAAAACCTAAACAGTACTTATTTCTAAAGTAGAATTTTCTCCAGTTTTAATAACTTCATACATAGCAATATGAAGTTCTTTCTAGATTTTTGCCAGGTGTTCTAATAATGTAATAGTTTAGGTATGGCTCATTGTCAAGGTTGGGTGGACAAAGATGTCGTGATGAATTGGCTGCAGAGAGCTAACTAAACTCTTAATGACTGAAAAATGGTCTGCATTTTGTTTAAGCCAAAAAGATATTTAAGCCATGTACCACCACATTCCCTGCTTAACATTCCTAAATTTCTTTATTCTTCATAGTTTTCTAATGAACAAATAATTAGTTTTCCTGAGTAAGATTATAAAAATGTTAACCTTTCTACCAAAAGTATAAAGACAAATAAAATGTCACTCACAATACAAATTTTTTACATAGCATTGCAGATATTGACTGCTCCTCTTCATAATGATTGGCCCACCCCTTAAAAAGACCGCAGCAAATGATTCAATTGTCTAAAATACTTCTAAGTACAGTAATTAAATGCTTTAGCCCATAAACATATCCCTCATCTACTGTGTTGCTAGGAAACACATGAGCAAAATCTATCATCCGCACTTCTACTTCTGCAATCTCTTGGCAACCAGTGGGAAGATGATAGAAAACTTTTTCCAGTTGGGACAGTACATTTCCATTTAAATGTTCCTGTGACAGGCTTTTCCACCCATTGTCTTGCTCCATATTTTCAACTTTCAATGAAGTCTGACTGTGATGCTTTTTGGAATACATTTTTCTGTGACGAGCATACATCTTGGACAAGCTTTTGCCTACTGAAGCCTCTATTTTTCCATTCGCTGTGGAACTCAACAAGTGAAAGTTATTATTGCACTCCAGTACTTCTGCGTCTGACAGTTGTCCTTTGGACAAAAACTTTTCTGCCAAAGTCCTGTCATTTGATTTTGTAGTGACTGGCTGAGATGAACCTTCATAAACAAATAGTAATGAACTTGCATAAAAGTTAAGCTGCTTCTGGCTTTCAAACCACTGCAGAATTTTCTCAATCTTCTGAATACTGGCAGCAACAGCATCTTTTCTTAAGCAGAATCCGTTATGAAAAAACCTGGAGATTCCTATAAAAATAATATTAGGACTGTATTCAAATTAAGAAATAGCTATCACTTGGGAAGTAAACTCATCATAGATACAATTCTTCAATTTTCTTCCCCATCATCTCTTATAATTGAGCAGTTAATTCTAGAATTCTAAGAATTCTATGTTATGAAAACACGGAAACTTAAACCCTCAACTTAATTTTTGGTGAAGATGCTCTTATTAGAAAACATTTCAATGAGACTAATGTAAAGTGAAATATCCTATTTAGATTAAAAAAAATTATTAGAAGTATACTGGATAGTTCAGTTCTCTCCATATGTATTCTCTTAAGAAATATGAGTCCAAGATTTATTCTATTTGCTATTGTGAGGAATATAATACTAAAATTTCTTGTTTGTTAAAATGACATTTAGGAGCTAATCTTAAAACCTAGAGTAAAATTATAACCATTATGTGTCACTAGACAAGTATGACACCATAACTCTTTTAATTTTTATTTGTTCTCGACAATATTGATTAAATCAGTCTTTTCAAAAAAGTTAAGCTCGCTTTTGGGATAAGCACTTCTCCAGATTAAGTATGCTATTCAAAACTGAGACTTCTAAATGTTTTAACCTGTCAGATTATCAGGCCTCTTTTAAACTATCAAAAAAGTTAAGCTCGCTTTTGGGATAAGCACTTCTCCAGATTAAGTATGTTATTCAAAACTGAGACTTCTAAATGTTTTAACCTGTCAGATTATCAGGCCTCTTTTAAACTATGCCTAGTTTATTATACTTAGGAATGTATGGGTATATATAATTTGATTTCTGTTTTTAAATAACTTATTACCCCACTTTGGAAGAGAAACTGTTAAAAAATATATTCAGATGGGACCAAATTGTTAGCCTGAAAAAAAACTACTTAAAAATAGGCAATCTGAATATTACCTTGCTGCTGGTTAAGTATACCAAGACAAACACTAATTGTTAAGATCACACTGTCAATGTCTGTTTTCTATACATAAAATAAAAACTCTTCTACAAACTCTTTATACTACACATAAGCTCTTCTCTTTCTTAGCAGAGCTAAGAATAAACTTCTGATATAAAATTATTTCCAGAAATCTAGGATATTATTGCTTTTGTAATATTTTGGCCACAAATACTTTAGAAGCCCATATGTAAACAGACTTTATTTAAACCAGTTTAATGCCACTCGATTATTTATTATGTAGCTCTAGAAGCTTATAATATATAAATTATACAGTGGAAATTTCAATAAAAATATATTACATGCTATAACACACATTTCAAAGTTTGTTAGGTAAGAAGCAGTTTTAATACAGTATGATCTATAATCTTTACTTAAAAAATGATTTTAAAAGGGCCTGCCCCGTAGCTCACTCGGGAGAGTGCGGCGCTGATAGCGCTGAGGTCGCGAGTTCGGATCCCATATAAGGATGGCCGGTGCGCTCACTGGCTGAGCGTGGTGCAGACAACACCGAACCAGGGGTTACAATCCCCTTACCAGTCAAAAACAAAAAAAAAGAAATGATTTTAAAGACAACCACTATTTCCAGTATTGAGCTAGATGGTGGTTCACAGATGTTCATTATTTTTAAAGAGTATATTAGTAAGAAATCAATGAAAACTCAAAAGAATGCCATTCGTGGTCCCATGATTTTGTTGTATCATGAAACAGATTATGATCAACCCAATTCTGTGAAAAAAATTTATTCACAGTATTCCAAAGGAGAATTAGTATTCCAAAGGAGAATTAAAACTGAAATAACTTTAAAATTATTTTGTTAGCTATCCAATAATAAAAGTATTATTTTTTAATCCTTACCATCCTTTATAGTTTCTTTTGTTAAGCTTCTTCCATAGTGCTGGTTTTGTGTCTCGTAGCTATCAGAATGAACATGATAAACCTGTCAAAAAAAAAAAGGCACTGAATATTAAAAAACTAATATGCCTTGACCATGTAGGGTTTATCCTAGCAATGCAAGGATGGTTAAAGATGAGATCTACTTATATAATTCATTCTAATTGATTTGAAAACAAAAAAATCATATAATCATATCAACAGATGTTGAAAGGGCATTTAACAAATTTAACACCTACTATTTATAAAAACTCTTTATAATATAAGGATAGACGAATATTTCAATATGACTCTATCCCAATCCACCAAAAGTTAGTCTTAAGGGGGAAATAAGGAAGCATATCTTTTAAAATATAAGAAGCTTCCATAAAAGCAATCTACCACAATATCTTTTGTTATTATTATCATCTAATATTATTCTGGAGTTACTAGCAAATGCTAATAGAAAAGAGAAAGAAATCAGATATATAATAAGCTTTCATACATACAAATAACCAGCTAGAAAACGTGATGGAAAAACGATCCCATTGACAAATGCGACAAAAAATAAAACATAGAAAAAAACTAAATAAGTAAAAAAATCTATGTAAAGACATTTCTAAAACATTCCTAAGATACAAACACATGCTCTCAGAGAAGATTCAACATCATAAAAGATATCAATTCTACTTAAGCTAATTTACAACTAAAATGAGATTATAATAAAAACACCAACAATTTGTTTAAACATATAAGCTAATTCTAAAGTTCATAAAGAGAAACAAGAAGAGCCAGGAGAAATCGAAATAAGATTAATAAAGTGGGACTAACCTTACCATTCTACCAGATATTAAAACATATTTTAGAATCAAATATATAAGAGAATTTAGTATGTGGTAATGGGACTTTAAATCAGTAGATAAACATGGATCATTTATTAAATAGTGTTAGTCTGATTAAGTAGTGATATGGGGGGGGGAAGCTGTACTCATATCTCATACCTTATGCCAGGATAAACCCCATATGCATCAAAGATCAAAATGAACAAAATGAAATTATAACCCCGCCACCTTATTCAAGGAGGAATCCTTGAATAACTGATAACTAGGGAAGGCATTTCCAACCGAACTCAGAAATTTGCACTACATACAAGGTTTTTTAAAATGACCACAATGTTTTTGGCATGCAGAAATCAAAAGACAAATAGAGAAAAACTATTTCAAAAGTATATGATGAACAAAGAGTATTTCTACACTTCTGGAAAAATGAACAAAGAATCTGAAGAAGTCACAGAAATCAAACAGCTCTCAAACACACCAGGAACACAGCCCTTCCCTGCTAATTGTCACAGTCAAAAATCTCTCCAGACATTGCCAAATAGCTCCCTGGGGAACAAAATTGTCCCTGGTTGAAAACCACAGCTCTATTATTAGGCCAAATGCCACGTCTATCAAAATTATAAATGTATGTGAGGCCAGCAATTCCCTTCTAAAAACTTATCACATTGATATGCTAGCGCACTGATGGAATGAGGCAGATCTATGGTTATTCACTATTAATATGACAGCTCTATTATTAGGCCAAATGCCACGTCTATCAAAATTATAAATGCATGTGAGGCCAGCAATTCCCTTCTAAAAACTTACCACATTGATATGCTAGCGCACTGATGGAATGAGGCAGATCTATGGTTATTCACTATTAATATTATTTATAATAGCAAAAGACTGGATCCTTCAAAAGGAACTGGTTAAATTATGGTAGAGTAACACTGTGCCGCTATGGAAAGATCTCCACGATATGTTAAATGGGGGGGAAAAGCAAAATACGGAACAGTGTTTAAAGAGGGCTTTGTGATAAAAGAATACATGCATGCAGTATTTATATATGTTTGAAAAACTTCTGGAAGGATACACTGGGGCAAAAAATAACAATCCTGTGTGGAAGAAGACTATTATTCACTGTATATATTTCTATACTTTTTGGAGTTTGGGCCATATAACTATGCATCTTCTCAAAAATTAACTATTTTAAAGAAGCACTAAGGATATATTTAGAAATTGATACTATACAATTTTCAGTCTGATATAGCTAATCATCATCTATCTCAAATGCTTCACTACACTGAAAACATTCAAATATAACCATGTTCTTACATACTCATATACAGCCTGTTTAAGACAACTCTTCTTGAACAAAGTGTTACTATGAATGGAAGAAAGCACGTTATAAACACCAAAAATTAAATTTGATTACAGGATAAATTACTTTCATAAAAACAGTTATAAACATCTAAAATTATGCTTTAAAAATACTCACATTCTCTATATACTTAAAAGAGCATTCTGAAAATAAAAAATGCCACCATTCTATTATTCAGAATTGTATTATCTGAGCCAAATCAATATTTCACACGAGAACCTAAATTTTACATACAGACAAAAAGCTAAATAGTTTCAGTGGAACTCCTTTACTGACCTTCTCTTCCTCTGTTTATTTTCACTTTATTAAAACTAGAATAGAATGGGTTTCTCCAATCTCTACCCACTGCCCACTCTTGGCCAGTAGCAAAGATATTTGTAACACAAAAGTTACATTCCCATCTAGAAAATCTGTAAATATGTAGCAAAAAATGTATCTTTTTTTTTTCTTCTTTTTTTTTTTTAATGGAAAGAGGGCTGGGAGACATGCCCAGGAGAACAGAATGACAAGCAAAAGCAAACTCCAGTTCTTCCTGGATATTTCACCATATGAGTTGCTTATTTTACATGAACTTACAATGTCAGAATAAAACAAATTCAAACACCTTTAGCAGAACACAGAAATCCGAAGTGTTACTATCCCACACTATTATTTAAAAAACAAAAAAAAACAAAGAATCTCATTTTTATTTTTAATTTTTTAATTGTGTAAGTTGTTGATATTTTTAACATTTATTTGTACATATTTGTGGGGTACAGTATATTGTTTCAAGAAAATCTGATTTTTAGACAATGTGATCAATAAGATCAAAAGAGACCTATCTTTTCCTCTAGTAATTAGGAATCAGTGATTAAGAACAGATATTTCTCTCCAGAGGATAAGTATTTCTTGTCAAAAACTTAAGTGTCCAAAACACACTGAAACATCTAAAATTTAAATAATTTAAAATCTTTAATTTCACGTTTTTAGAAACTTTCAGGTGAATTCCTACAAATTGTATTTTAATTACTTTTGGTAAATAAACATACTAAGTCCATATAATTATATAGCATATGTTTTCAGAATCAGTACAAAACTGGAAAATTAAGCAACCATGTACATAGTACTTAACCCATAAGGATACTATCTCAAAAAACTACTAAATCGCAAAGTTAGTTGCTGATATACTAAATTCTCTTAAAGTTTGATACCTTAAGATAACATATGCCTCCCCACCTACTACCCATACACAGTATACTCCAGTCACCCTACATAAACTCCTGTTTCACAACATGCTCTGCTGCTTCTTGGTTTTCCACCTACTATTGTCCCTTGTTGCCAGTTCAAAAATCTACCTGCTCCAAAATCACTCTATACCTCCCTCTTTTGAATCCTTTGCTCTTATAGATTCTATTTTGTTTCTAACTCTTTTATAATACATATCTCAATAAATCTTGAATTAAACTAATGGTGAGCATTACAACCCGTACCACCCTGGAATCAAGGAAATATAGTATAACTGATTAAAGTCATTTAAACATAAAAAATTCCTAAATCAGCACAGAAAAGAGGCAAGTTATTCTACCTACCAAACCTACTACTGGTTAACCATGATAACAGAAAAATATTTTAAAACTGATATATTTGATAAACTTCACAGTCTATTCAGTGATATCAAGGAGTATTTTATTTAACAGCATTACTGTCCTGAAGGAAAATTTTTAATTTGGGAATATTAATTCTAATTTTATCCAAGTCTATCTTCATTACCAATCTACAAATCCATTGTGATTTAAAAAGTTCAATGGATTTACCCCCTACTATAAAAAACTATTTAAAAAAATTAATCTTAATACTACTATCAAACCTCATGGTTTATCTCCCAGTTTAATATTCTAGAATTATATAAATATATACACACATTATCATTTTCATTTATTTCACACCTGAATCACATAATTATAAACTGTTAAGTACTCTATAAAGGAAGCTATGAGAATGAAGATAGGAGAACCCAAATTGATCTACAGATCGAACACAATCCCCACCAAAATCCCAGCTGGTACATCTTTGCATAAACTGACAAGGTGATCCTAAAATTCATTGGTAAGTTAAGGGACCCAGAAAAGCCAAAACAAACTTGAGAAAGAAGAACAAAGTTGGAGGACTCACAATTCAAAATTACTCTAAAGCTACGTGAATCAAGACAGTGTGGTACTGGCATTAAGGACAGACAATAAGGATCGATGGAACAGAATTTAGAGTCCAGAAATAAACTCTCACATTTATGGTCAATTTATTTTCAACAAGAGTGTTAAGACCATTCAATAGGAGAAAGAACAATCTTTTCAGATTGTGCTGGGACAACTAGATATCCAAATGCAAAAAAATGAAGTTTTACAGCTTCCTCAAAGCATACACAAAAATTAACTTAAATGCACCATATAAGAGATAATACTATAAAACTCTTAAAAGAAAAATAGGAGTAAATCTTGATGACTTTAGATTAGGCAATGGTTTCTTAGATATGACATCAAATGCAAAAGTAACAAAAGAAAATAATAAATTGGACTTCAGAACTAAAAACTTTTGTGCTTCAAAGGACACTTATCAAGAAAGTGAAAAGACAACTGACAGAATGGGAGAAAATATTAGCAAACCAAATGTCTGACAAGGGACTTCTACACAAATAAAAAAAAAGACCAATTAAAATATGGGCAAAGGATCTGAACAGACATTTCTCTGAAGAAGATACACAAATGGGGCTGGCTGGTTAGCTCACTTGGTTAGAACGTGCTGCTGATAACATCAAAGTCAAGGGTTTGGAACCCTATACTGGCCAGCTGCCAAAAAAGAAAGGAGAAAGATATACAAATGATCGATAAA